GATGGACATGCCTAGGTTTGGCGGTTGCCACTAGAACGGTACTTGCCTGATTGCATTGTGCTAGGTGTAAAATTTGGTGGAGGGGGGGATTATGGTGTGGGGTTGTTTTTCAGGGGTTGGGCTGGGCCCTTAGTTTCAGTGAAGGGAACTCTTAAGGCATCAGCATGCCAAGACATTTTGGACAATTTCATGCTCCCAACTTTCTGGGAACAGTTTGGGGTTGGCCCCTTCCTGTTCCAACATGACTGCGCACCTGTGCACAAAGCAAGGTCCATAAAGACATGGATGAGCGAGTTTGGGGTGGAGGAACTTGACTGGCCTGCACCTCAACCCGACAGAACACCTTTGGGATGAATTCGAGCGGAGACTGTGAGGCAGGCCTTTTCGTCCAACATCAGTGCCTGACCTCACAAATGCGCTTCTGGAATAATGGTCAAACATTCCCATAGTCACACTCCTAAACCTTATGGACAACCTTCCCATAAGAGTTGAAGCTGTTATAGCTGCAAAGGGTGGGACAACTCAATATTGAACCCTACGGACTAAGACTGGGATGCCATTAAAGTTCATGAGCGTGTAAAGTTAGGCGTCCCAATACTTTTGGCAATATAGTGTATACATTGATTATTAAGTAAAACACGGACATTCTTGGATTTGTTGGTATTTTTCAAGAATTATTGTACTGCAAGAATATATTTAAAGTAGTATACACGGACAAGTTCTTTAAGTATAAAATTTGGGGTTTTTGTTTATTCTTTATTTATAAAAGCACCTTTTTTGCCAATAAAAAAATTAAAATAAATACAATTTTGCCAAATTTTATTTATTTAAAGAGAACACATACACACTTTCTATAGTATGGTGTATACTCTTTGTTACTGTGTATAGATATTTTGGGGGGGTATTCAATAAACCTGCTGCACCACTTTTCTGCCGTTCATCCCTTGTTAATGTATTGTGCCAAATTCACAGTTTTAGTTCTGATAGCGACTAGTCCACGGAATTCAGATAGTTCTAAAATGTGCCACTTTTACACTTTGTCGCATTGAATGCACCACCTTTACATTTGGTGCATTCAATGTAATAAAAAATTTGAGCTGCTCCAACTCACTTATGGTGCACAGGTGAAAAACTGACCGATTTTGCAAAAGTGTCTCTAAAAGTGACACAGCATGAGACACTTTCACAAACTCTGTCTGCGTCAGTCTTTAAAAATTCCATGGATTACTGGATATTATCACTGAATATTTTGGTTGAGTACTATGCAGCACTGTTTACTTACTCTTTTATCTTTATACTTGTGGGACACGAGTGTGGGCAGCAGTACTGATTTGGTTAGATAATTTGATTGAAAGCATAATCAGTGGAATAGAGGATACATATAAATTTAATTTTCTTTTATTCTTATGTTAGTAGCGTATTAGTGATTGCACTTGGGTATCTTTGATCCCTCATCTACTATACAGCGCAGTTGAACAAATCTTCCACTGGGTGGGATTTACTAAAACTGCAGAATGCAAAAGCTGGTGCAGCTGTACATAGAAACCAAACAGCTTCAAGGTTTTATTGTCAAAGCTTCATTGAACTAGCTGATGTTAGACAATGATTGGCTATCATGCACAGCTTTACTAGATTCTGAGTGTACCAGTTTTAGTAAATCTTCCCCACTGTGTCGAACGTATTTTAACAGCTGGTCCTGGCAGCTTTCAAAATATCTTAACAGCGACCACATCTGATCACGATTGTCATCTGACAATTTCTAGCCTGGCTCCTTTGATTTTTCAGTCACGATATGTTGTCTGAGAGGCAGCTGACAGGGCCACCTACTGGGCAAATTTCACCCAGTTCCTCCATAGAATGTATGACCAATTTAGGAAAGCCTGGTACTATACATTTACTCCGCTCATTAAGCGGTTTATATATATACACTGCTCAAAAAAATTAAAGGAACACTTTTTAATCAGAGTATAGCATCAAGTCAATTAAACTCCTGGGATATTGATCTGGTCAGTTAAGTTGCAGAGGGGGTTGCTAATCAGGTTCAGCTGCTTTGGTGTTAATGAAATTAACAGGCGCATTAGATGGGCAACAATGTGACGACACCCAAAACAGGAATGGTTTTACAGGCGGAGGCCACTGACATTTTTTCTCCACTCATCTTTTCGTTTTTTTCACTAGTTTTGCATTTGGCTAGGGTCAGTGTCACTAGTGATAGCATGAGGTGATACCTGGACCCTGCAGAGGTTGCACAGGCAGTCCAACTCTTCCAGGATGGCACATCAATATATGCCAAAAGTTTGCTGTGTCTCCCAGCACAGTCTTTAGAGTATGGAGGAGATTCCTGGAGACATGCAGTTACTCTAGGAGAGCTGGACAGGGCTGTAGACGATCCTTAACCCAGCAGCAGGAACGGTATCTGCTTCTTTGTGCAAGGAGGAACAGGATGAGTACTGCCAGAGCCCTACAAAATGGCCTCCAGCAGGCCACAGGTGTGAATGTCTCTGACCAAACAATCAGAAACAGACTTTATGAGGGTGGCCTGACCTCCTTTAGTGGGCCCTGTGCTCACTGCCTGACACCACAGAGCTGGATTAGCATTTGCCATTGAACACCAGAATTGGCAGGCCCACCACTGGCGCCCTGTGCTTTTCACAGATGAGAGCAGGTTCGCTCTGAGCACATGTGACAGACATGAAAGGGTCTGGAGGAGCCGTGGAGAACGTTATGCTGACTCTAACATCATTCAGCATGACCGTTTTGGTGGTGAATCATTGATGGTCTGGGGAGGCATATTCATGGAGGGAGGCACAGACCTCTCAAGCTAGACAATGGCACCCTGACAGCCATTAGGTATCGGGATGAAATCCTTGAACCCATTGTCAGACCTTACGCTGGTGCAGTGGGTCCTGGGTTCCTACTGATGCACGACAATGCCCGGCCTCATGGGGCAAGAGTATTCAGGCAGTTCCAGGAGGATAAATAAATAGATACCATTGAATGGCCCCCACACTCGCCTAACCTAAATCCAATAGAACATCTCTAGGATATCATGTTACGGTTCATCTGACGCTGCCAGGTTGCACCTCAGACTGGCCAGGAGCTCAGTGATGCCCTGGTCCAGATCCAGGAGGAAATATCCCAGGACACAATCTGTCGTCTCATTAGGAGCATGCCCCGACGTTTTCAGGCATGCATACAAGCACCGACGTTGTGAGGCATGCATACAAGCACATGGGGGCCATACATACTACAGAGTACCATTTTGAGCTGCTGCAATGAAATTTCAGCAAAATGGACTGGCCTGTTGCATCATTTTTTCACTTTGATTTCCAGGGTGTCTTTGAATTCAACCCTCTGTAGGTTGAGAATTTTCATTTCCAACAAATGATGGGGCATCCTTACATTTTTAACATATTACCCAGTCCATATCAGTATAGATATCCTGCATGATATTTTTCCTCATTGAGATCTGATGTGTTTTCAAAGTGTTCCTTTAATTTTTTTGAGCAGTGTATTTGGAGAGAGAGCGCGACATCCCTATGATCAACAATTCTCCTGTTACTTCAGAACGTATTCTTCTCTCTCCAAGATAAACAATTCCCTATAGATAAATCTATCGGCTCCTTTGAAAGCTATTGTACAATATGCCGAGAGATGTATTTCTAATCGCTCTCCCCTGCTGGTGCAAATAATTTCTAGGCCACATACCAACTTGCGTAAAGCCCCCTGGAAATGAAATGCCTTCTAGTTCGTGCCTTCATGCCTCGACTGAACAAAATCGTGCAGATTGTTTCTCTACACATGACCATTTCCCAGATCCTTTTGCTGAAATGGGAAGCATTTAAGAGTTTCCTCAAGGGTATCTTTATTTTGAAATTACAGTGGTTAAAAATGCCTCCAGGAATCATAAAACCCAGATGGTACAACAGCTGAAATAGGAGTATATATCTAACCCTTCAAACTTTGAAAAGGCAGCTTGGCTATCTATGCAGGATGCTCTTGTGTAGTTGGCCAATTCCACTCTGCAAGTTTTGAGAAAATTTTTTTTTTTTTTTTTACATTTTATGAAGTTAAGGAATACACCAATCGCCTATTGGCTAAAATTGTAAATGTCCAGCACACCTAACAATCCATAAGTGCATTGACCACTCCGCCAGGCACTATAGTCATTTCTCCCAAGTTGGGGATGGCAGAACTATTCCAGTTTTACGAGGATATTTATAAATCCTAAACAATTTGTTGTTGCCTCTCTCTCGCATATATATATATATATATATATATATAAAATATATACACACACTACAGTATATTGCCAAAAGTATTGGAACGGCTGCCTTTATATGCACATAAACCTTAATGGCATCCCAGTCTTAGCTGGATTAGAAGGCCTGGCTCCTAGTCTCTGCTCCAATTCATCCCAAAGATGTTCTATCGGGTTGAGGTCAGGACTCTGTACGAGCCAGCCAAGTTCCTCCGCCTCAAACTTGCTCATCCATGTCTTTATAGACCTTGTTTTGTGCACTGGTGCGCAGTTGGAACAGGAAGGGGCCATCCCCAAACTGTTCCCACAAAGTTGGAAGCATGAAATTGTCCAAAATGTCTTGGTCTGCTGATGCTTTAAGAGTCCCTTCACTGAGGGGCCAAGCCCAACCCCTGAAAAAAACAACCCCACACCATAATCCCCCCTCCACCAAACTTTACACTTGGCACAATGCAGTCAGGCAAGTACCATTCTCCTGGCAGTTGCCAAACGCAGGCATGTCCATCAATTGCCAGACAGAGAAACGTGATTCGTCACTCCAGATAACACATCTCCACTGCTATAGAGTCCAGTGGCAGCGTACTTTACACCACTGTATCCAACACTTTGCACTGCACTTGGTGATGTAAGGCTTGAATGCAGCTGCTCGCCCATGAAACCTATTCCATGAAGTTCTTTATGCACTGTTGTGCTAATGTGAAGTCCACACGAAGTTTGGAGGTCTTTAGCTATTGACTCAGCAGACAGTTGGCGACTTCTGTGCACTGTGTACTTCAGCATGGGCTGACCTTGCTCTGCCATTTTAAATGGCCTATCACTTCATGGAGTTGATGTTGGTCCCTGTTGCTTCCACTTTGTTAAAATAGCACTAACAGTTGACCGAGGAATGTTTAGTGAAAAGGAAATTTCACAGATGAACTTATTGCACGGGTGGCAACCTATCACAGTACCACGCTTGGATTCACTAAGCTCCTGAAAGCGACCCATTCTTTCACAAATGTTTGTAGAAGCAGGCTGCATGCCTAGGTGCTTGATTTTATTCACCTGTGGCCATGGGGGTGACTGGAACATATGAATCCAATGATTTGGGGAGGTGTCCCAATACTTTTGGCAATATAGTGTGTATGTACAGTGAGGCAAAAAAGTATTTAGTCAGCCACCAATTGTGCAAGTTCTCCCACTTAAAAAGATGAGAGAGGCCTGTAATTGGCATCATAGGTAGACCTCAACTATGAGAGACAAAATTAGAAAAAAAAGCCAGACAATCACATTGGCTGATTTGGAAAGAATGTATTTGCAAATTATGGTGGAAAATAAGTATTTGGTCAATATCAAAAGTTCATCTCAATACTTTGTTATATATCCTTTGTTGGCAATGACAGAGGTCAAACGTTTCCTGTAAGTCTTCACAAGGTTTGCACACACTGTTGCTGGTATGTTGGCCCATTTCTCCATGCAGATCTCCTCTAGAGCAGTGATGTTTTGGGCTGTCGCTGGGCAACACGGACTTTCAACTCCCGCCAAAGGTTTTCTATGGGGTTGAGAGCTGGAGACTGGCTAGGCCACTCCAGGACCTTGAAATGCTTCTGCCCAGGCGGGATGTTTGGGATCATTGTCATGTTGGAAGACCCAGCCACTTCCCCATATCATGATGCTTGCGCAACCATGCTTCACTGTCTTCACAGTGTACTGTGGCTTGAATTCAGTGTTGGGGTTCGTCTGACAAACTGTCCGGTCACTAGACCCAAAAAGCACAATCTTACTTTCATCAGTCCACAAAATGTTCCGCCATTTCTCTTTAGGCCAGTCAATGTACTCTTTGGCAAATTGTAACCTCTTCAGCACGTCTTTTTTAAACAGTGGGACTTTGCGGGGGCTTCTTGCAGATAGCTTGGCTTCACATAGGCGTCTTCTAATTGTAACAGTACTCACAGGTAATTTAAGACCTTCTTTGATCTTCCTGGAGCTGATTGTTGGCTGAGTCCTTGCCATTTTGGCTATTCTTCTATCCATTCGAATGGTAGTTTTTCGCTTTCTTCCACGTCTTTCAGGTTTTGGTTGCCATTTTAGAGCATTTGCGATCATTTTAGCTGAGCAGCCTATCATTATCTGCACTTCTTTATATGTTTTCCCCTCTCCAATCAACTTTTTAATCAAGGTACGCTGTTCTTCTGAACAATGTCTGGAATGACCCATTTTCCTCAGAATTTCAGAGAGAAATGCACTGTAACCAGCATGTATAACATTTGCTGCCTTCCTTCCTTAAATATGGGCAATAATTGTCACCTGTTTTTCAAAGAATGAATGACCTCACTAATAGAACGCCACACTGCTATTATTTTGAACATGCCCCTTTCAATTAGTTATTCAATTATACAGAATCAGCAGCATGCATGTCATGACTGTTGGATTTCTATTACTCTACTACATCTGCTTGTAAATTATTTGCCATGTAGAAATATCATTTCTACCAAAAACAGTGATTGATCAGGTTAGTGATGTCTGACTGCTATTATTTTGAACACAACTGTATTTGGACACAGGCACAATTTTAGTTTTTTTCAGGTATTTACCAAAACATATTCAAGCTATAGTTATATAATGGATCTGGGCTGAAAGTGCACACTCTCAGATTAATTTGAGGGTATGTACATCCAAATTGGAGGAAGGGTTTAAGAATTACAGGTCTTAACAGTAGCCACCCCCCCTTTTTTTTTTCAAGGGACCAAAAGTAATTGGACAGTTGAATATAATCATAAATAAAATGTTTGTTTTTATTTTGTTGAGAATCCTTTACCAGCAATGACTGCCTGAAGTCTGGAACCCATGGACATTACCAAAGACTGGGTTTCCTCCTTTCTGATGCTTTTCCAGACTCTAACTGCAGCTGTCTTCAGTTGTTGTTTGTGGGTCTTTCTGCCTTTAGTTTTGCCTTCAGCAAGTGAAATGCATGCTTAATTGGGTTGAGATCAGGTGATTGACTCTGCAGAATATTTCACTTCTTTTTCTTCAAAAGCTCCTGGGTTGCTTTTGAAGTGTGTTTTGGATCATTGTCCATCTGTACTGTGAAGCGCCGTCCAATCAACTTTGCTGCATTTGGCTGAATCTGGGCTGACAGTATATCTCTAAAACACTGCAGAATTCATCCAGCTGCTTGTCACATCAATAAACACCAACGACCCAGTGCCACTGGAGGCCATGCATGCCCATGCCGTCACACTGCCTCCACCATGTTTCAAGCCTACTTCACACTTTTTTCTTCCCATCATTCTGATACAGATTAATCTTAGTTGCATCTGTCCAAAGAATGCTTTTCCAGGACTGGTCTGGCTTTTTTATATGTTTTTTGGCAAAGTCTAATCTGGCTTATGAATGGTTTGCACCTTGTGGTGACCCCTCTGTATTTGCTCTCGTGAAGTCTTCTCTTGATTGTAGACTTTGACCATGATAGGCCCACCTCCTGGAGAGTATCCTTCACTTGTCTGGATGTTGTGAATGGGTTTGTCTTTACCATAGAGAGCATCCTGCGATCATCCACCACTGTTGTCTTCCGTGGACGTCCATGCCTATGTTGCTGAGCTCACCAGTCTGTTATTCTTTCCTCAGAATGTACCAAACTGTTGATTTGGCCACTCCTAATGTTGCTGCTATCTCTCTGATGGATTTGTTTCGTTTTTGAAGCCTTACAATGGCCTGTTTCACTTGCATGGACAGCTCATTGGAAAGCATGATGTAGGTTCACAGCAAGACTCCAAATGCAAATACCACACTTAGAATCAACTCCAGACCTTTTTACCTGCTTAATTGATGAAGAAATAACAAAGGAGTAGCCCTAGCCCACACCTGGCCATGAAACAGCTTTTGATTCAATCATCCAATCACTTTAGGTCCCTTGAAAAAGAGGGGATGGCTACTCTTAAGAGCTGTAATTCCTAAACCCTTCCTCCAATTTGGATGTATATACCCTCAAATTAAACCAGAGTGTGCATTTTCAGCCCATATCCATTATATAACTATAGCTTGAATATGTTTTGGTCAACACTTGAAAAAACTAAAATTGTGCCTGCGTGCAAATATATATGTATATGTGTGTGTGTGTGTGTGTGTGTGTGTATACATACACTGCTCAAAAAAAATTAAAAGAACACTTTGAAAACACATCAGATCTCAATGGGAAAAATATGCTGGATTATCTATACTGATAAAGACTGTGTAATGTGTTAGGAATGAAAGGATACCCCATCGTTTGATGGAAATGAAAATGACCAACCAACAGAGGACTGGACACTCCGAAAATTAAAGTGAAAAAATGATGCAGCAGGCTAGTGCATTTTGCTGAAATTTTATTGCAGTAACTCAAAATGGTACTCAGTAGTTTGTATGGCCCCCTTGCTTGTATGCTTGCCTGACAATGGTGGGACATGCTCCTAATGAGACGATGGATGGTGTCTAGGGGTATTTCCTCTCAGATCTGGACCAGGGCATCACTGGGCTCCTGGACAGTCTGAAGTGCAACCTGGGGGCATCAGATGGACCAAAACATGATATCCCAGAGGTGTTCTATTGGATTTAGGTCAGACGAGCATGGTGACCATTCAATGGTATCAATTCCTTCATCCTCCAGGAACTGCCTGCCTACTGTCGCCACATGAGGCCAGGCATTTTCGTGCACCAGAAGGAACCCAGGATTTACTGCACCAGCATATGGTCTGACAATGGGTCCAAGGATTTCATCCCGATACTTAATGGCAGTCAGTGTGCCATTGACCCTTTCACATCTGTCACGTGCTCAGGGTGAACCTGCTCTGATCTGTGAAAAGGGCACCAGTGGTGGATCTGCCAATTCAGATGACCAATGGCAAATACCAAGCCAACTCTATGGTGCTGGGCAGTAAGCATAGGTCCCACTAGAGGACGTCGGGGCCTCAGGCCACCCTCATGAAGGCTGTTTCTGATTGTTTGGTCAGAGACATTTACACCAGTGGCCTGCTGGAGGTCATTTTGTAGGGTTCTGGCAGTGCTCAACCTGTTCCTCCTTGCACAGCTCTCTTAGAGTAACTGCCTGTCTACTGGAATCTCCTCCATGCTCTTGAGACTGTGCTGGGAGACACAGCAAACCTTCTTGGGGGATCGTCTCATTGTTGTACATCTAGTGCACCTGTTGTTAATCAGTTTCCGCTGCTTTGGTGTTAATGAAATTAACAACCCCCTCTACTACTTAATTGACAAGATCAATATCCCAGGAGTTAAATTGACTTGATGCTATACTGATTAAAAAGTGTTTAATTTTTTTTTGAGCAGTGTACTATGAGCCTGTGTTTTAGCCTTGCAGCCAGTTTAGACAGTATTTACTTTCAGGATTTAACACATCAACAAAAGCAGTCATTCTTGGCTAAAAGCATTTGTGGATCTTGTTACTTAGCAATTCAGCTCAACCAAACCTTCACTCTCATATGTGCAAATATATGTGTGCAGGTGTGAGGTCTCAAATATGAAAGCTGTCGCAAATCATGTGCACTGAACAGTCTAACAAAAACCATAACTAAATAGATATTCACAGTGAAAGGTGTTACAACCTTGGATGCAAGATAAATTCGAATCTTTACTGATCTATTCCCACTTCACCATAATCCCTGGTGTGCATCATGCTGGGAGTTACATACTCTGTTTACTGAATGTATCCTGGCAGGGATCTGCCTCTGCTGTGCATGTACAAAAGAATTTCTTTCCATCCATTCCTATGAAACGGTTTATTATTTTCCCCAAGAGTGGATGGTCCTTCCATTGGAAGGAATAGTGATTCTTTTGCACAAGAGTTAGAGCATAGCTGCAAAACTTCTCTTGAAGAGGTTGTATGCCTTCCACACCCTAGGTGTTAACATAATTTGAAAAGGTCTGCAAGCAATTAGGGTGAATAATTTAAAAGAAACCATGCCATAACTGCCACTTCTCCCTCCTAAACAGACAAAAAGCATTTTTCCACAAAATCAGCGTGGCCCACACAAGCAACATTTTATAAAAACTAAGAATTAATAAATAAATAAAAAAATCCAACTAAAGGTAGGACACACCCTAAACATTCCAATAGGCACTGTGGAAAAACTAGTGAAAATGCTTTATAAACTAGCAAATGAGTGACCGTTAATGAACAGGTCTATTTAGGCCTCTGAGTGATTTATAATACACCGATGTGTTACTGCTAAATGAGACAATATTTTAGGTTTGGAGGAGAAAATTGTGTTGATTGTTTAACTGGAGGCAGAGAGATCAAACAACTGGGGGAAGAGGCAGGGACGGAGCAGGCACATGGACCAAGAGGGGAAGAACAGAGATAGCATAGTGGCTGAACACAGGGTAGATTTTTTTTTTATCTGCTATAGATTAACACTTTCTAAATAGCATTATCCTTCTTTGAGACAAGAAGTTTATCAGTATGAAATATGACTATTTCTCTAAACTTGCAAGACAGTTAATATTCTTTTACGCTGAATTACAGCAGGATAATGTAACTCAAAGGCATATACATTATATTGCCAAAAGTATTGGGACACCCCTTCAAATCATTGGATTCAGGTGTTCCAATCGCCTCTATGGCCACAGATGTATAAAATGAAGCACCTAGGCATGCAGACTGCTTCTACAAACATTCGTGAAAGAATGGGTCGCTCTCAGGAGCTCAGTGAATTCAAGCGTGGTACCACGATAGGTTGCCACCTGTGCAATAAGTCCATCCAAGAAATTTCCTTGCTACTGAATATTCCACGGCCAACTGTTAGTGGTATTTTAACAAAGTGGAAGCAACTGGGAACAACAGCAACTCAGCCACGAAATGCTAGGCCACGTAAAATGACAGAGTTGGGTCAGCGCATGCTGAAACACACAATGTGCAAAGACACCAACTGAGTCAATAGCTAAAGACCTCCAAACTTCATGTGGCCTTCAGATTAGCACAACAGTGCGTAGAAAACTTCATGGAATGGGTTTCCATGGCTGAGCAACTGCATCCAAGCATTAAATCACCAAGTGCAATGCAAAGCGTCGAATGCAGTGGTGTAAAGCACGCTGCCACTGGACTCTAGAGCAGTGGAGACGTGTTCTCTGGAGTGACAAATCATGCTTCTCTGTCTGGCAATCTGGGGGATTATGGTGTGGGGTTGTTTTTCAGGGGTTGGGCTTGGCCCCTTAGTTCCAGTGAAGGGAACTCTTAAAGCAACAGCAGACCAAGACATTTTGGACAATTTCATGCTCCCAACTTTGTGGGAACAGTTTGGGGATGGCCCCTTCCTGACATGACTGCGCACCAGTGCACAAAGCAAGGTCCATAAAGACATGGATAGGTGAGTTTGGGGTGGAGGAACGTGACTGGCCTGCACAGAGTCCTGACCTCAACCCGGTAGAACCTTTGGTATGAATTAGAGCAGATATTTCAAGCCAGGACTTCTCGTCCGACATCAGTGCCTGACCTCACAAATGCGCTTCTGGAAGAATGGTCAGACATTCCCATAGACACACTTTAAACCTTGTGGACAGCCTTCTCAGAAGAGTTGAAGCTGTTATAGCTGCAAAGGGTGGGCCAACTCAATATTGAACCCTAAGGACTAAGACTGGGATGCCATTAAAGTTCATGAGCGTGTAAAGTTAGGTGTCCCAATACGTTTGGCAATATAGTGTAGACATTGATTATTTAAGTAAAACACAGACATTCTTGGATTTGTTGGTATTTTTCAAGAATTATTATACTGCAAGAATATATTTAAAGTAGTATACACAGATAAAACGCCTAAATATTGTAGACAGCATTCTCAGAAGAGTTGAAGCTGTTTTATAGCTACAACTCAATACTGAACCCTACGGACTAAAACAGAGATGCCAAGTTCATGTGCATATAAAGCCAAGCCTCCCAATACTTTTGGCAATATAGTGTGTGCGAGTATGGCTCTATTAAACCCTATTGCAATGTATCTGTCAGTACAATCAAGAGATTAGCAGTCTCAAAAAAAAAAAAAAAAGTTAGTTGAGGGTCCACAGCACTCCCATACTGCTCCCTGACAGAGTTCCATAAAACCCCCTACAACTTACCGGCTACCTACCTGAAGTGATTTCTCCTGAAGTCCAGCAGAGCTACTGATTTTCCATATCTGGGTCTAGTTACAGATTCTAGGTAAAGGTCAATGGACCTAAAAAACATTTTTGATTTTAGATGTGCTTGAAAGGTCAATTGATGAGAAGTGAGAGAATAATGCACTATGTATATGGATTCTATAGGTATGATCCAGAAGGGTTTCTTGTGTATTTATTTCAATCATCAATTAAAAAAAACACACTAAAATGCATCAGAAGTATAAATGGTTAGGCAATTACATCATGAATAGACACATTACTTGTATCCTGGTATATTTTGAGTTTCAGGTCCTCGACAGCTTCTTTGGCAGGGTAGTGAAGCTTGAGTGTGGCAGTACAGGTTAAAGTACTGGAACAGAATTATAACCTGTGTGTCAGCAAGCAGGTCATTTCACTATTTTGGATCCAGTCAGGTGCTGGTGGTTTGCCTCACCAACTACTCATATTTTACAGAGATTCCAGTGAGGAGATCCTCCAACTTTACATGTATGATTTCTTAATCCTCATGCTAAATTATGCTTACTGAAGTTAAAAGGAGACGCCATACAATAATCACGTGATAGGTATAACTGAAGTAAGTTGCAAAGATCAATTCAAAGGAGATATACAGTATATGAAGCCTGTGATGATTCAACCCATCACCATCCATCCAAAAGTGAAATAATTATCAGGTGAACACAGGTAATCTTAATTACTGTTGAGGCGATCCTGAGTGGAGTGATTTTAAAGGCAACATGCAATGATGAAACTATGGCACATTCACTATGGGCTTCACTAGTGTGTCATTGACCTAGATAAAGTTTGCCAGGGAAAGGTTTAGGATGAGCCTTAGACCCTTTAAATCTGCTCCTATAGTTTCATCCTAACAAGTCCCCTTCAAACAGAAATAAAAGTCACTGAAAGACATACAATATATAAGCAGAAAGTTGTGAAAAGAAATTTTAATAATTTTGTTTCCAGAGGAACATAATTGGTATGCTGCAATGAAGTGACTACACTGAGAAACGTATTGCTGTAGTGTTATAAACAATGTCTTGTCTTCAATGGCACTGAAACGTTTCATACATTCAGCTAAATGTTAGGATTTTATCATGGTAAACTTGGGAAAAAAGCACAACTGATGTTTTACTGAAAACATCTATTTACTTTGCTAGTGTGGTATGAACCAGAGACAGTATAAATGAAAATGTAACAGTGTGCATTAATATTACTGTAAAAACCATAGGTACATGAAAAATGACATGACCTTTACATAAACTACCCACCCTTCAGAATCAAACTAAAAGGTGGCATTTTCAAATTAGTTTTCAACTCTAGGGTTTTTATTAAAAAAAAAAAAAAAAAGTTCTGATACCTGCATTATAAAGTTGTGTAAAACAGTGTTATTACACATACATGTATACACATATGTACATGCGTTATGTACACTTTACAGTTGAGCATCTTGGGAGAATATGTGGAACATTCAAACACATAAAAGGTAGTTTGCCAAATGAAACAATGTAATAACTCCAATCTTGCTACTGATTATTGCAATTAATTGCCAACATACCCCCAAAGATTATATATTTATTTTCAAATTCCATTCTCCCCCAACCTAAAATATCAAATATATAAATGTGCCTAGATTTGAATACAAATCTAGGCTGACCTTTGTATAAACAGCTAAACAGTCTGGGTTCCAAGTAGTGAAACCACTGCTGGTTCTTAACAGGAGTAAGAAGATGGGCTTTCTACTTTCTTATTGCAAGTGGGATGCCCCTTTAAGTATTAAGACTGATTCCATGTAAAGCGGACTATTCAATTTTATTTGGAAGCTGATGTATTCCAAGGACCCACAGACCTTTTTATATCTTTCAAGGCGAAATGAAATATTGAAATTTTATCTGAAGCCCAGTTATGGCCATTGCAAGCTCACTTACTTCATGCCAAACATAATTCTCACACTTTTTGCTGGGGTCTGCAATAACATAATTTAGCAGGAACATCAAACTGCTCATGCGACAGTAAAGATTGCAAATGGTGGGGCTGAATCAGCGTTGAATACAGAACTATGAACCCAGAAATGACTAACAAGCAAGTGGGTCCTCTATCACACCAGAGGGGGGCCTTGCCAAACTAGATTTAGTCTTTATAAAGAAAAAAAAAGGAGCAACACAATAATGGCAATAACCAGTGCTTCTAAACCTCACATTTGCTGGAAAGAAGAAAATAAAAAATTATATAGATTTTTTTTTCACTTAAATGTACATTGTTACATTTTTTTTAAAACATAATTTTAAAATGTCTCTTAAAACAACCCTGCCACTTTTTTTTTTTTTTTTTTTTTAATAAAAGTACCAAAATGGGATTAAGTGAGCACAGCTTACAATATCTCAAAAGCAATATACAAGTTGTTTTGTATGTCTTATGTACACAAAGATTGTGCGCTATTCTGATAAGCAGAAATCGTAGGCTTTGACTGCATTGAGTCTCAGTCTTTGGCACACTAATCTGAATTATTGATTGGTACTAGAATAGAGGTCTGCAAAATTAGACATAAATGAAATGCTTTCCAATGTGGATATATAAGTATATATAATTATATACCTGCTTACGTATATATAGGATATTTCACTGCCTATGTAAAAGATAATGTACAAAGCCTGGGACTAAAATTAGGTATTTCCTCCTGCAGAGATCAACATTTGGTAACTTATTTGTCCTTGCTGGTATTTCCCAGCTAGCTACCAAAGTTATGAAATGCTCCCAAAACAGATGCCATTTTTGCATTTAGTATAATGTACCCACTTATGTCAGACATTATTAAACTACCATTAAAGGCTTTCTTAGTCTTATGCAGAGCCAAAGATTCATTTTCCTGCATCAATTTTTCAATTTAGTTAATCTGAGGACTACATATACTGAAATGCTTAAACCTAATCCATAGGCAATAAAACACTTAAAAACACCAACCCCATGAAAAAAAATCTTTCTTTCCCCTGGAAGGGTTTCCAATTCTTTATAGCAGCACAAAAGTAAGAGTACTTAAGTAGAGCTGCCTCAGAGTACAGCACATTTTTACCAGCCTATTAAATTGGCTTTAGCTTTCTCTGTTAATTTCCGTACCCTTCCTCTGCTTGAGGTTCCAAAAGTCAAAGAAGTGTCTTCAAACAACAGCTGCCTCTGTTCCTCCTCAGAGTCTTCTTCATTATAAAATGCAGTTCTCTTGCCCTGATTTCTAGTTCTCATTTGGGATTCAGAATGATTAAGGCCCTCAGTTGTCTCTCTGGATACATCCATTGATTCCTCAACCTTTTTACATTTACTTCTTGTTTGTATTTTGACAAGTTCCTGTTTCGCATTTTCTGGTACTGTCTGTGTTGGTAATGATTGTGATGGTGGTGGTGGTGGTGGTGGTGGAGGTGGTAGTGGAGGAGGAGCATTAATCTCTGTATGCTCAATTCTTATTTTTGGTTTTCTACCCCTCCGTTTTTTTGGTACCTCAATCTCATTCTTAACTTTCAGCTCTGCATTAGAGTTACAGCTGGATGAAGTCGGCTGCTCCTTTTTCTTTTTAACTGGGGAAACAGGTTGAGGTGTGACCTGGGGTACAATTTGCTGTTGATCATCGTTCCTGGGATATTTTGGCTTCCTTCCTCTTTTCTTGGGAACAACTTGAATGCTATTATTTTGGTCACCATTATTAGCGTTGTTCAGAACTATCTTCGGTTTGCGGCCAGGAGGGCGACCTCTCATTCCTGGCTTCTTGACCTGGCTGCTGTGCCCATTAACTTGAACACGTACTGGCAATACACCATCTTTTCTTTCAGCTGCAACACAGTGTAAAATATAAATTAAAGGCTTCGGTGTTTTGGAAAATCATTAATTAAACTACACCACCAATTGTGGAAGAGAGTTCCACATCCTTATCAATTTAACAGTAAAAAAACCCCTTCGTAATTTAAGATCGAACGGTTTCTTATCCAACATCATTGTGGGCTGCATGTCTTCTTTAGAGAACTTACGTTAAAATAGTTTCCTCCCAATGCTATAATCCTCATTTAAAGATTTGAATATTGATAGAAACGCACCGCGAGTACCGAAACGATCGGTCAAGTGCTTGCGGATACAGAGTACCAATACTTTGCGGTGCAATTTGCGTCCATACAAAATGAATGGGTGCAAATCACACTGCAAAGAATAGCATGAGACTTGAAGAGGAATGTGGTGTGATTCGTGTCTGAATCGCATGCGGTTTCCCAACTGCACCTGTGTGAACCCAGGCTTGACCTAGCATGGGTTTAGAAAAGACCGCTGCGGGAAACCTCCCTGCACCGATCCCATACTGTCACACAATGAAAAGCCGCTTCACAGGTCTGGGGATTTAAAAATCCCTGTGGCTTTCTCTAGACTGCTTCTGATTGGACAGCCGTCTAGCCTGTACTGTCATCCCTGCAAAGAGAAGAGAAAGCCGCAGAGATTTCAAATGCAAGGAGGTTTCCCGCACTGCTCCTGTGTGAACCCAGGATATGACAAACCAGGTCACACAGGAGCGGTGGGGAAACTGCATGCGATTCAGACAGGAATCGCACCACATTCCTGTTCAAACTGCATGTTATTCTTTGCAGTGCGATTTGCACCTATTCATTTTGTAATGACGCAAATCACACCGCAAATATCGGTTTCTGGTAATGGGAGCACTTTCAAGAGTACTCGTGAAAATACTCTGTATCGACACCGGTGCATCCCTAGTGTACTGCGTTCATATCCCAACTTAAGCATCTCTTCTCCAGGAAGAATAAGGTTTGCAGTTGCTCCTCATAACCGAGGTCCTCCAGTTCCAGCATATCCTTCCTAAGCGTGGGTGGCCAGAACAGGACAGCATACTCAAGAGATGGCCGAACCATAGTTTTGTAAATTGGTAGTATAAAAGTTGTCTTGAGTAAATACAGTTTTACAGTTAATGCATGCAAATAGCCTGCTAGCCTTGCTTGCTGCAGCTTGAAATAACATGCTATTGCTGAGCCTGTGGTCTACCAGGACCCCCAGATCATTTTCCATCCTCAATTTCCCTACAGCATCTCCCCCACGCGAGTAACTTGCATTCATATTTTAGCTCCCAAGTGCATTACTCTACATTTTCCAATATTAAACCTCATCTGCCACATAGCTGCCCTCCCCTCTATTTTAGTTAAGTTCTCTTGCAAAGTTGCTACATCTTGTTGCGACGGTATTGTCCTGCTTAGCTTTGTATCATCAGCAAACACTGAGAACGATTTATTCCAACTTTTATATCGTTTATAAACAAGTTACAACAGTACTGGTCCCAGGGTAGAGCCCTGGATTACCCCACTCAACTCCAGACCATTCTTAACCCCTTGACGCCGACGTAACACAAATATGTGGCCTCACGGACCTGGGCTTTTTTCCGTGGGGCCGCATATTTGCGTACCTGTCTTTGTGTTGGGAGCGCGCCCCTCAGCTCGCTCCCAGCACCGAGACCGCGGTGTCACTGAGAGCACCGAGTCCCGTTCTAACGATCGGGACCCGGGACTCCCGGTCCCGGGTCACATGATCGCTGTGATAGCCTCTGATTGGCTATCACAGTGATCAGTCACTGTGCAGCCCGGCCCCCTTGTTTTTTTTCTCTCTCTCTCTATGAATGGAGAAGAGAGATACATTGTATCTCTCGAACTCCTGTCAGAGAGAAGAAAAAAAAAGTTTGTAAAAAAAGATAAATAAATAAATATTAAAAAAATAAAAAAAAATACCTAGATCAAGGTTTGATCTAGTTCAGTGCCAGGGTTAGTGTTTAGGTCAGGGTCAAGGTTTTTTCCTTCGGTAATAAAAAAAAAAAAATCAGGAGATATCCATTACCATTTACCACCAAATGAAAGCCCAATTTGTTCTGAAAAAATCAAGGTATAATTCACCTGGATGTGCAAAGTAGTTGTGATGATATGTACAGTTTTGCTATCACACGTCAACGGTGCAGAATTGTGCTTAGGCCTTTAGATTTGTTTTACCCTTAGGCGTGAAGGGGTTAAAATATGCCAATTATTACCACCCTTTGGACATGCTCCTGTATCCAGTTTTCTATCCAGGTACATACGATCTAATCAACACCAAAATACCTTAATTTGTAAATTAAGCATTTATGGAGTATTGTATTCTATATAAAAAACCATGAACACTATTTCCATAGCCCTTCCTTTATCTAAATTACAACTTACCTCCTCATAGAATGTTAAAAGGATCTAACAGGTTGGTCTGACAAGAGCAGTCTTTCATAAATCTTATTAACCTAAGTTGTCACATGTGGTAACACTAAATAGCTTGTCATAAAATGTGATGTAATGTACTGTTCTAGGTTTAAATGAGAGATGTCATTGGTCAGCCTGCTTTCTCCCAAACTGTAGTGTATGACTGAGTCACCAAAAGTTGGCTTTATCAGTGGAATGGCAAGAATGAGGAACCCCCAAGACTAAATATTTTTCCACCATTTGAATGAACACTGAACATCCTTTTACATCATCAAGGCATGTACACATCATAACTACCTTGCTGTTGACTGCTCATCCCTTTCATCTTGCGTTTCAGAGGCTTCTCCTTTTCCAGGTTTTCTTTGGGCACGTTGTTCTTTCTAAGCTGGGTGGTTGTCATTGGCTGGCTGGTACTGCTTGGCGTACTCTGATTTCTAGGATGTTTAACTGAGTTTTCAACTATTGCTACTGAAGAAAGAAAAAAAAAAAAAAAGGACAACATAAAAAAACATATTGATTACATGTAAATTAACTCAGGGCTTAAATTTTCAAGTCCTGAGCTACTAGCCAGGCCTTAAGAGTTATCGCCACCAGTTGCCCCAGCCAACCCGTACGCTGCTACACCCTTAATTCCCCCCTAAACACGCCCTCGTAAAATTTCATGAAATGGCACTGTTAAATGTTACCCGCATTACATCAGGGTCCCCAGAGTCCCCCCACATTACAGCAGGGCCTCCAATGTCCCCCTAAACACTCCATCATACTTAGACCATGCACCGAATACACCAATAATCTTTCACTCACAAAACCATAACTCTTCCAGGCATATCCTACCTACTATCCAACCCAGCAGTACCTCAAATGCCCCATACGCTACAACCCATAACCACATCATCCTGAACCTGACCAAACCACCCATACATATAGGTTTACATACAGACACACGCACACACAAACAGACACCTGTACACACACACACACACACACAGGCATGTACGTACACACACAGAAACATGTACACACACACGCACAGAGACACATGTACATACACACAGACACATGTACATACACAGAAATGCACAGACACGTGTCAATACATACACAGACACACACGTACATGCACACAGACACATGTACATGCATACATAGACACACACAAATACATGTACATACACACACACAGCCTTATAAAAAGTTGCAGTACTTTGTTACCTTCACTCACAGAGAAGGGTACTGCACTCTAGGGGGAGGAAGAGAGCACAGCACACACTCCTTCCTTTGCTTTCACTTTGCTCAAGTACTGAGCAGTCTGACGGCTTCCAGTGCCAATGACAGATTCGGCCCTGAGTTCCAAGCCTGCTCAGCAAGATGGCCCTGGGGACACACTCGCCCCCACCATAATTTTCACTCGCCAATGCGAGTAGGCAAGTGGAAATTTCAAGGCCTGAATTAACTTCTTCTAAAATATGCTTTACATAAACAGTACAATGCATGTACAGCACCATATAATCACGCTTATAAAAATTAGCCTTAACATGTTTATTAGCAGTAGATGCTTGTAATTCTTATTAACAAGAGGCTCTCAAAGCAATTCGCTTATTTATATTTGCAATCAGAGAAAATAAAATCAATGCTGCCCAAGGTTTCCTACCTTCTACGTCACCACGCTAACACTGAGTTCTATTACCATGCAGTTATGCATTTCCCACTAAAGAACAAGTAATCTCTGTTTTCCATTTTTTTTTTTCAAGATGACACTGGAGTTTCCAGCAGGCAATACCTTTCTGGGGCAGGGGAGTCTACCTCTTCTAGAGGCAGGGGCTTATATCCCACAGGTTGCCTCTGTCCTCCTATGAAAGTACAGAGAACTTAGATTTCACTGTGTAAGCTTTACACAAATGAGATGAGCCCAAATCAGCTACAGATACATATATGCATTTTAGAATACAAATTTACAACATACCTGCTTTCCCTGGAGTGGTAGAATTATTCAGTCTTGTTGTCATGGGTTTACACAAAGATGTGGATGGTTTATCAGCAGAGACTGGTTCTATAGAACGCCTGTAACTCCTTGTGCGTGCCAATGGACTGGATTCTGTTCCTTTGCCATTTGTTTGAGCAGTTGGCACCTTCTGAACTGCTGAACGTGGGCTAGGCAGTCCTGAAGGTGTTGGTGTGCTTTCCTGCTTTGGTTGGTGCTTCACATATTTTCTTTTTCTTTCAGGACTTTGATAAAAACATACATGGCATATTAAAAACACAAGTGAAAATATAAAATATTGCTACATAATGCTTTTGGAGCACATTTGTTTAGGCTATGCTTAAAATATATGTAACAACACACAAACACTAGATGTAATAAATGAATAAAAGGCCTTTTGGATTACTAGAAACGTATGCCAAATTACCTAGATGCTGCAGTGCTGCTGGAAGAGCTGCTCCGATTCCTTTTCTTCTTACGTTTGGGCATTGAGGTCCTCTGATGAAATGTGATGGCAGAACGATAATCTGTCAAAATTGTGCCTACACGCTCCTCAAAGAATGCAGATAAGCGCAAACTCATGCTATAAATCTATAAGAAAGATACAGCAGGAATTGTAATGATGCAGGATAACAAGCAATGATTGTCCTATTAATTGAACGTTTCTACTCATAAGACTTTTGTAAACCTCTAAACCAGAGGAAAACAGCATTTTTGTATGTATCATAAAATCCTTTTCTTGAATTGTATTGAAAAATATAGAAAGTTTTAACTATATAACCATGTTTTAGTGAAAAGGGAATAATGTTAGCAGTATTTCTCTGATCCCTGCTGGTTCTCTGTATCACTCTGGCATAGTGGCATTACCGATACCTACTACATACCTGTCACAGTCAGTGACTCTGTAGGCTTGGTTTTAAAAACAATCCTAAATCTATGATTTCCTGTGTAAAAGGAAAGTCCAAGGGAGAGGGCTAGATAGACAGAAAAACGAGGAGAGGAACTTCCATAGCTTTATCTGTGGTTTGATAGTGCATCAAACCACAGATATACCACAGTATGCATGCGTGCCTTATTTAGCCAACATTCCCTAGCTCATTGTCTTTGCAAAGAAATGATGCATAATGAACTGCTAATATATTTTGACAAAGTACGCACTGACCCAGACGGTAATACAACCTTCCAGTCCACTGGTTCTTCACAGAATCCAGAAGAGATCCTTGTACTGGCCCCAGTACAAGCTCTACCCCACTTTCTTCCAACCAACGAGGGACTCCACAGCCAGAGCAGGGAAACCCATAGCAGTTGATGATTTAGAACATGGTTTAACCACTTCCATACCAGGCACTTTTACCCCCCTTCATGCTCAGGCCGATTTTCAGCTTTCAGCGCTGTCACACTTTGAATGACAATTGCACGGTCATGCAACACTGTAGCCATATGACATTTTAAAAAAAAAATTCACACAAATAGAGCTTTCTTTTGGTGGTATTTAATCGCCAATGGGGGTTTTATTTTTTGTACTATGAACAAAAAAAAAAAGAGCAAAACATTTGAAGAAAAAAAAGTTTTGTTTCAATTATAAAATTTAGCAAACAGGTAATTTTTCTCCTTCATTGTGTGTTGATGAGGCTGCACTGATAGGCAGCACTGATGGGCACTGATGAGGTGGCATGGACAGGCAGCACTGATGGGCACTGATAGGCTGCACTGACGGGCGGAGCTGACTGACGGCACTGCTGGGCAGCACTGATAAGTGGCACTGCATGATCAGTGCCAATCTGCTTTGTGAAAGCTGCCAGTTATCAGCAGCACTTTCCTCACGCTGAAAGTGCTGCTGATAACCGGCAACTGTATTTATTCGGTGGTCTGCTGTGTCATTGGACAGAGCTGATCATGTGTTGAAAGGCTGTTGTGATTGGCCTTTTGCCTCATCATGTGATCAGCTGTGTCCGTAGGACACAGCGATCACATAGATCGTCGGATGCATGCAGGAGGGCGCGTTCTGGGAGGACGTCATATGAACCCTCCCAGAACTGGAGATCCACGCTGTAGTTGTCATTTGGCTACAGTATGGTAAGGATGTGGTTAAACATGAATGCACCATCACAGCCTCTTCTAAAATAATACCCACTGCAGACCTTTAGACAGGGTCCTCGTGCATTTAACTCAAGTTGCTACCGCTCTCAACCATGGCTAGAATACTCTGTAAAAAAAAAAATGCATGCTTTTGCGTCCTGTGTTGAAATTTGCGGCATTGAATGATAAAGATGTTTTTACCAAAAAATGATTTACTCACTGGAAAAGTAAATTGGAGAAGGACAAGGGATTAAACAAGCATGCATGTAGCCACTGCCATTTGCAAGTTTCTTCCTTGTGGGCTGAGATGATGAAGAGAGAGGCAGTAGGTGAGACTGTAGCCCACCTGCTGGGTCCAAACCAGCATAGAGAAAGTAGTTACATTCCTTGAATGAGTTGCCCCTTCGTGGGACCTCTGAGAGACCAGAATCTAGGAAATAAGATGATGTGTCTACAGGGCTGTTCCTGAAGCTAATTGAATTCAAATTACTAAAGGATGCCACACTCAGATGTAGTAAATGGTATATCACAAAAAACAAAATATACATCCCATATGTGCAAAATCAAGTAATTGAATTAAAAGTTGCAAGAAATAACAAATAAATATGAGAATGCTGACATAGCGGGGTTCTGTTTAAAGAGTGATGGGACATGGGAAAGGAGCAATATAGAGAACCTATCAATAATGTCAGTTATCAGTTTGTCCATAACTCTGTTCCTGAGGAACACCTGATTAGTTTGCTGGACCTGAGACAGTTAGATGCTGAGTACATCACAGCACGGATACTGAAACATCTCTCAGATGGGGGCTACAGTACTGACAACATAATCAGTCAGTGCTATGATGGTGCTTCTGTAATGAGGGAGGTGTTGCATGCAGGCATTGCTACAGAATAAGATTGCCTGACATCTACCTAACATTCACTGTTACAACCATAAGCTTCATCTTGGCAGTGATCAGGTTCACTCCACTCCTTGTTTAAATTCTCACTATATTACACAGCAATACAATGTGCCATCTCTGAAAAGACTGCTGGAATTACAGTAGACCAGTCACTATGACGTGGCCAGAGGTGTTTTGGAAAACCAGCATGCTATCTTGGATCTTCTCTCTGAGATTTCAGAGATTACTGTTGCATGAATGGATATACAGCATGTACCAAAACATCAGGACTATTAGTATAGCTAGGGAAACAAATTCTTTGAAATAGATTAATTTCTTCCAGATCCTTGGTTCCTTAATGTCGGCTAATTCTATTCTGAAAGCTCGCTCAGTAGACCTCTGTAGTGCTGGGGATGTTAACACATCCTCTTTGCAAGCACTGAAACATATGCAAGGAAATATTTCATGAACTCAGTTTGAACACACACATAATCCACCTGCAGCAAAGAAACAATGACCAAGCACCTCACTGTGTTGTTCTCTCTACTCTTGGTCACACTGAGATGGATTCCTTCAAAACACAACCAGTGTCTCTAGAAAGAGCCTTGCTATATATTCTGAATAAAGCCATTGCTGAACTTGACAATAGGTTTTCAAAGCAAAATCTGGACTTCATGAAGGCCTTCTTCCTCAGTCTAATTATTTTCTAGATCTGGTGCTTCTGCACCCTTTGCAACTGCTTGCAGACTCAAAATGTGCTGACAACGACAGCCTTAAAATTATATTCTTGACCTGAAACCAATGTTGCTCAATAAATTTACCAGAGGAGGTGGACCTGTCTGCTGTTTGCACACGTCAGAAGCTATAACGAAGCATTCCCGGAGCTGCATGCACTGTATGTAACTGCTCTGGTGATTGGGGTATCCACAGTATTATGTGAGAGTTCATTCTCCACATTGTCTAGGGTTCCAACGTAATTTTAACACACAATGATGCATGACAGGAAAAATAATTTGGTGATTTGGGCTCATGAGAAGGCAATAGGCAATAATGTAGACATGGATGAGTTTGTCAGAGATTTTGCCAAAAAAAAAAAAAACAGAAGGGTGTTGCTTTGATGTGGTAATAAACAAAAGGTGAAATAGTGACAAGTACAGTCAGGTCCATAAATATTGGGACATCGACACAATTCTAACATTTTTTGCTCTATACACTACCCTAATGGATTTAAAATGAAACTAACAAGATGTGCTTTAACTGCAGACTGTCAGCTTTAATTTGAGGGTATTTACATCCAAATCAGGTGAACGGTGTAGGCATTACAACAGTTTGCATATGTGCCTCTCACTTGTTAAGGGACCAAAAGTAATGGGACAGAATAATAATCATAAATCAAACTTTCTCTTTTTAATACTTGGTTGCAAATCCTTTGCAGTCAATTACAGCCTGAAGTCTGGAACGCATAGACATCACCAGATGCTGGGTTTCATCCCTGGTGATGCTCTGCCAGGCCTCTACTGCAACGGTCTTCAGTTCCTGCTTGTTCTTGGGGCATTTTCCCTTCAGTTTTGTCTTCAGCAAGTGAAATGCATGCTCAATCGGATTCAGGTCAGGTGATTGACTTGGCCATTGCATACCATTCCACTTCTTTCCCTTAAAAAACTCTTTGGTTGCTTTTGCAGTATGCTTTGGGTCATTGTCCATCTGCACTGTGAAGCGGCGTCCAATGAGTTCTGAAGCATTTGGCTGAATATGAGCAGATAATATTGCCCGAAACACTTCAGAATTCATTTGTCAGCAGTCACATCATCAATAAATACAAGAGAACCAGTTCCATTGGCAGCCATACATGCCCACGCCATGACACTACCACCACCATGCTTCACTGATGAGGTGGTATGCTAGGATCATGAGCAGTTCCTTTCCTTCTCCATACTCTTCTCTTCCCATCACTCTGGTACAAGTTGATCTTGGTCTCATCTGTCCATAGGATGTTGTTCCAGAACTGTGAAGGCTTTTTTAGATGTCGTTTGGCAAACTCTAATCTGGCCTTCCTGTTTTTGAGGCTCACCAATGGTTTACAACTTGTGGTGAACCTTCTTTATTCACTCTGGTGAAGTCTTCTCGATTGTTGACTTTGACATACATACACCTACCTCCTGGAGAGTGTTCTTGATCTGGCCAACTGTTGTGAAGGGCGTTTTCTTCACCAGGGAAAGAATTTTTCGGTCATTCACCACAGTTGTTTTCCGTGGTCTTCCGGGTTTTTTGGTGTTCCTTCTTTTTAAGAATGTTCCAAACAGTTGTTTTGGCCACACCTAATGTTTTTGCTATCTCTCTGATGGGTTTGTTTTGTTTTTTTTCAGCCTAATGATGGCTTGCTTCACTGATAGTGACAGCTCTTTGGATCTCATCTTGAGAGTGGACAGCAACAGATTCCAAAGGCAAATAGCACACTTGAAATGAACTCTGGACTTTTTATCTGCTCATTGTAATTGGGATAATGAGGGAATAACACACACCTGGCCATGGAACAGCTGAGAAGCCAATTGTCCCATTACTTTTGGTCCCTTAACAAGTGGGAGGCACATATGCAAACTGTTGTAATTCCTACACCATTCACCTGATT